AACGTCAAAAATACTCGAGTAACATAAATGGATTCAAATCCTTGAGAATATTTGAAAACTTTCGATGTTTTCAACTTTGGGAGTATTTAAATACTTTGGAAGTATTTAAATACTCTGATTATACTCAGATACAGAATTTGAATACTTTGGATATACTCAAACACTTTGGAAGTATTTAAATACTTTGGAATTACTCAAATACTTTGAAAGTATTCAATTACTCACTGTGAACTATTTAAATTCTTTTGTATTTGTTATTTGAATACTTTTTGGCCTTTGAAAATATCTAATATTTGAATATTTTCAATATCCGAAAGTATTTGATATTTAAATATTTTCCTCAGAGTATTTTCCCGGACCTGACTATCACCCTGTATATCCCACCCACATTTCGAATAGGAACTCCACATTCGTCATTTCGGTAGTGAATAGCCGGAAAAGTTTGGGACTAATCGTGAGAAAACGGCACATTGAAACTGTGTTCTGCTATGTTTTCGGGGGTTGTAAATTCCTCTTCATCAGTTATTCTACGGGTGTAAATCTGCATTGAATCTTGAATGGATAAAGGAAGAAGAGATGAATGGGGCCACTGTAATTCATCCTCTAATCAAATACTAGCGATGAAAACGAAAACAACCCCGAAACAAAGAGGTAGGAAGGAGTTTTGAATAATTCAGAATGAGTTTAAAATATAATACCGTGAGTAAATGGGTCGTTCGGTCTGGGTAATCATGATGCAAATTACCTCTTTTCTGTGCTTTTTTTTCACGTTAGTTTTCCGAAGTAGAAGGCGAAAATCATAAATCAAACTGGAGTTTTATGAAATACATTGTGAATTTAAAATTCGATGCGAATTCGCCGATTTAATTTATCAAGGTGATCAATGAAACCCCTCTTCGAGACACAAACTAATGGAATTGTTCCTTGAACAAAACAAATATTCTCAATGCTGGGAATTACCGTCTACCTTCTTCGAACCGATATTCGAAAGTGATTAACCCTTTGAAAAGATTCAGCAGTGCTATTGAAAGAGAACTAGAACCATGTTCGCTGCCACTTGGGGGCAAGGAGGGGGCGATAAGTACGTATAACACCGAAAAAATTCAAGTGGTGTTTTCTTGTGATATTCTAGCAAACAAATGTAATCTAAACATGAGTCCTAACTTGCTCCGTTTCTGAGATACAGGATGTTGAAGTTGGAAGTATTAATTGTTTTTATTTATAACCTCCCTGTATAAGCTTTCATGATGCCAAAATTCAGTATGGATGGAGACTGAGAAAGCCCTAGAATTTCAAAATGATTCTAATTAGGGTTATTGAGTTGAATGGAAGTCTTGAAAACACCTATATTAAAGTTTGGAGTCGAATCGAATCTTTATTGTTTCCTCAGAAACTAAGCTAGATACAAAAATAACACATAGGATAAAAAAGTTGTTGTTTCAATAGTTCAATCTAATAAAAATATGATATTCAGAAAAACCGGTGCCGTAAATGACATTCACCGAATGAAATTGACTGGATATCCTTCAAATGATCGATGATCGAAGAAATGTTCAAATTTTGACCATGGTTAGTGGACCACACAGTATATATGAGATGATGGTTTGCATACAATTTGCACATTCTATACAGGTTGGTTCACCCTAAATATCTCCCATTGTTACTTAGTTGTTTCTGAACCGATTGTGAAATTTCAAAAACCAATTGAAATGATTTCAATTGGTACCTTGGTGAAGCCCTTCCAGCAGAGGTTGGTGACATCATAATCTCTGAGACTTCAACTGATAAAGTATATCAGGTATATCTTTCGATCATGCCGAGATTTTTCAATAATTATTATAATGATGTCTAATTATGTTCGAATAAGTCGAGCTCCCCTCTCCGGAATCGTATGCAAATGCCGGGAAACTGATTAATGGGTCCGAATTCATTGTTTCGCCAAAGGGCATACATTCTTAGATCATCGACTATAACACTGAAAAATTGCCACGCCACCTAGGCGTATGCAAACCGGCAAGCGCCCCAATTTTCGTGAGATAAGATCATTGCACTTCATTGCCGAGCTTCTTCTCGAACAAAATTTCGAACTTTTTTCCAACCGAAAGGTGAGGTCAGGGCCGAGGCAAGGATTGAGTTGCGACTCTCCGAGGCGCTCCTTACTGTTAAATTGGACTAAGTGAGTGGGTCCCTTAAATGGCATACCGATTTAGAACATCGATAAACCCTGTGTCGCGGACCAACAGTCTATAGGGGGTTGAACCAAGAGGACTAAAATTATTGATTTTAAGTGTCCCACTTGATAATAAAAATGACCGGTCTTCTCGATTTTTCATATGATACACTGGAAGGAAGATATGGAGGATGGAAAGTTTCCAAAATGTCACCTTGGATAGCATCGAATACCACTCAAGCTATATATACACTTGGTTGGAACATTATTTCGGATCATCTTCCAGATATTGATACTCCTCTTCAAGTGTATCTGTATTTGGAATGACTGAATCCCTACGGTGCAATGCAAACAAGGTAACGCTTTGACGTCAGCAGAAGTTCATGCATCCATCAGATCGCTCTTCCTACGGGCTTACCTCATATCATCGCAGAAAGATAGAAAACGTCACGAAACCGTCCGTAACATGCAACGTTTTGACGTCAGCTGAAGTTAATGCATCTATCAAGGTGGGAACAGACCAAGTAAACATTGTTGTGCAACAGTTGATCAACAGGTAGGCAACTGTTGGCCAACTTGTTTCCGTGGGAAGAGAACATTTTGGACAAATTGTTGGGCAACATCGACTAGCCAGTGCAGACACTGTGTGCGCAATGTTGGGCCACATCTCCTTCCTTCCAACCACCATCAGTTCGGCAACAGCTGCACAACTGTTGTGCAACTGTTGCGCAAAACGGATACACTGTGCAAACGTGTGTGTTTCTCAAGTGTTGTTCCACTGTTGCACAACAATGTTTGCTTGATCTGTTTCCACCTTCAGGTAGCTCTACCCACTCGCCCATAATGTGCAACGCTTTGAGGTCAGCTGAAGTTAATGATGCATCTATCAGGTGGCTCTGCCCAAGCGCTGACGTCATCTCTACACAGACAGATAAAAAAGTCATTGAAACGTCCGTTATGTACCTAACTGCAGTTCGTTCAACACGTACCTGAAATTTTCACGCCAAAACTTGTTAATTATATATAATAAGCCTTGCGGAACGTGAACGGCGACATTTTGTGTTAACGATGTACGTGTTCCAGCCATTATTGCAAAGTTGGCATTGCCAATTCCCCGTCTGAAGTTACCTACGTAATTTTAACGGGAAATTACTCTCTAATATGACTATCGATCATGACTTTCCAGAGTTGCGAACGGTCCATTCCCGTTTCCGTCTATACCGGCGTCGGATTGTTTCCTCTGTGTGGAAAAGTTTGGTTTCGGGAAATGATAGGTGCCGGTGCGGTTGATAGCAATAATCATTTCTACTAACTTTGATTGCTAAGAATGTTTTGAAACCTACAGGTGCTGATTGATGTTATTGTTAGAAGGTGAACAAGATGAAAGATCTGTAGAAATTTTTGTATTTTTTCGTAATTACGTTCAAAACGTAGCTACTCATTTCTCCAACTGGGGAATGATGTTTTCTAAGACTATTAGAACCTTCTGGGTTCACGAATTGAAGAGACTATTGGTCCAATATGAGAGTATGTTGAGAATACAATATTGGAATGATGATATTGGTCGAATATTGGTTCAACCTGAGCTGAATGTGGATTATCAAGTTCAATATTGAAGCAATATTGGTTGGAAAATCTGTTTGATGATATGTGGAAAACTTATATATATATCATAAATAATATATAATATTGTTTCACAAATAAAATAGAGACAGATCGCCAACTTTTCTACGGTGTTCCAGAGAAGTGAGTGAGTTTGTGAGCGAGGCATCACCCACGAGACGAATCGCCCTTTTTAGACAGATTCCAACAGTTTCAGGGTATGTTTGGGTGCTGCACTCCAACTATGCTTATGTTTGGCAGAGTGAGGTCGGCTTTTCTAGAGAAAAGGCATGCTTGTGTTCTGCTTGCATTGAAATCTACCAAGTTATTGTCAACATTTCTTCCTCATTTGTTTCTGATTTGCCTGGCTGGTATTGTAGCCCTGGAAGAGAAGGCGGTATGGAGGGTACTATCATCCGCGAAGCTGTGTACTGGACATGAAGTTGCTTTCAACAAATCGTTGACATGGAGTAAAAATAGTGTTGGTGCTAGAATTGATCCTTGCGGAACACCAGCATATATGATGAGAGAGTCAGATGAAACTCCGTCGACCACTACATGGAGAGACCTGTTTGAGAGAAAACTAGCTAACAGAGAACATAGCTGGAGAGGCAAACCATAAGGTGGAAGCTTGGTGAGAAGTCCGTCGTGCCATTCTCGATCGAATGCCTTGGAGGTATCAGGTGCCACGGCTACCATATTTTTCGATAGATTGCTGCCATATATGTGAGACGTAAGCGTACAGGTCACCAGTTGAACTCTGATGACGGAAGCCATATTGCCTTTGTTCGATAATGCCTGAATGTTCCAGGTATCTCATGAGCTCGATGTTGATAGCTTTCTCCATGATCTTAGAAATAATAGATATCAGTGCGATCGGTCTGTAGTTGCTGGGTAGAGTCTTTTTGCCTTTCTCAGGAACTGGTTGTACTCATGCACTTTTCCAGCTGGACGGGAATATCCCCAATTTGTAAGAGTACAATACTGTACTGCAATACAACTTGCAGAGAACAGGTGTTAGTTCGGGAGCACATTTCTTGAGGACAATCGGTGGGATTCCGTCAGACCCACAAGCTTTGTTGGTTTAGACCCAATAAAATCCTCTATAGTACGTTGGCGAAAGGTGATCTCGGGCATATGACTGTCAATTGGCCTTATGTTCGGAGGTTGTTTTTCCGATGAATCCAAAGTGGAATTTCCAGTGAATGAATGCGCAAAAATGTTCCAGGATACGGTTCGGTGTCCCCGCGCACTGCCTGGGGTAAGCTCGCCGCCGTTCTTTACGCGCTTGTCGGCGTACCCCTGATGCTGCTCTACCTCTCCGCCGCTGGGGACGCGTTGGCACGTGGCTTCCGGCGTCTGTATGGGCGACTGCGCGGTGCGCCTGCGTCGCGGAAGCCCTGCCGCTGCGCCGACGCCGTGCGAGTTCCAGTGGTGCTGTGTCTGGCCATCGTGCTGGCCTATATCTGCTCCGGAGCCGTGCTGTTCCACCGGCTGGAGAACTGGTCGTTGCTGGAAGGTGAGTATGCGATAGGCGAGTGTTAGCTATGGTTTTATTCGATAGAATTATGCTTCAATTTCTCAAATCTGACTGACAACTCTTGATATTCATTTGACAAATTCCTGATTGACTAATACATAGCTATCTCGTTTCTTATAGGGTCCCTTGATGTCAATTGACGTATTTGTCATCAGTTCGCATCAAGAGACTCTAGTTTCTTATATTTTCAAAATCTACCGAGTGACTCTAACACACTCCCTTTTCTGAAATTCACTAACTCATAATCTTGCACATTCGTTGGTATTCGACTTTCTCTTCTTCCCCTCTGACATCTGCCTCCCTCTGAGCTAGTTCCAACAATTTCATAATTAGTCTCTCAATTTTTCTTCGAAATAGATAAATCCCATTCATATTTCGAAGACATCTAGGAGATATCAAGTTTGATGAGACAGTCAAGATATTGAAAAAAATGTTTGGTCATCTATCTTCAGTACTCAGTACTGCAATCGACACAAAAGTCGTCCATTTTGATACCAAAATCAGCTCTTGAATTGAGGTTTCTATTGCTGACACAAAAATAGGTATGTTGCTAGGCAACATATTTAGTTCCTAGGAGCTAAAGTTGAACTCAAGTTCCTAGGAGCTAATGTTGAACTTTAGCTCCTATGCACTAGAAAGGATGTACACTAGACGTCATCAAGAATAAACAACATTGTTACGGTTGGTTATTTGGGATGGGATGGTTTATCACAGCGTTCCCAAATAGTCTCGCTTAACAAAGAAAAGTCCAAGTCCCAATTAGTGAAGTGTGGTGTCCCACAAGGATCTGTGGTCGGACCACTCTTATTTCTGATATAGGTGAGTCAATGACCTAGCAAGTATTAAAATTAGAGGAAAGTTTACTATGTTCGCACATGACACCACAATATTGTGATACAGCAACAATAATGTGGAACTCGCTGAGGTCATATTGAAAGTAAAAAATTGGTGTGATGCGAATAAATTATCTTCTGGTTGTTTTGCAGCGAGAGTCATCTCATCTGTATTGAATATATCTGCAGCAAGATCAGTCTATTCTGCCCTGATTGACTCAATTTTGATATTGGGAGTCTGTTTTTGAAGGAATGGTTCTCAGTTTCCATTGAACTCTTTGTTCATTTAAAAAAAGAGGGTATACAACACAACGAACGTTGACTGTACGGTTTCCCTACTAATTCCTAGAAGTAAATCAATAAGTAAATCTATTATTTATAATGCCGAAGAAATGTTTAATCACCTGCCTTCACATATTCGTTCATTGCTAACACATATCAAGTTTAGACAGGCAGTTAAAGAGCTACTATTGAATAAAGCCTATTATACCCTGCGATAATTTTCTGAAGATGCATCCAATTAAGCTTGTCAGTTTATATGTGACTGTGACTTTTACTAGTATATATTTCACTTAAATGTTGTGTTCCTTATATATGTGCATGATTTTATAGTTTCAATATCAGTTATAGCTCATCATACACATGTTTTGTCAACAAAAACTTCGTTTGTATCACAATAAAGACTTTCTTCTTCTTCTACATATATAACCGCCAATCATCATAACCTTCATTCATGAATATACCATCCTAACAGGCTCAACTTTTCAGGAAGTTACTTCTGCTTCACCAGCCTTGGCACCATAGGTTTCGGGGACCTCTTGCCTGGCCAGAATGCGGAGGAGATTTCCTTGTGCGCATGCTCTGCCTACATCCTCACCGGCATGGCCTTGGTGGCGATGTGCTTCAGCCTGGTGCAAGACGAGGTAATTACTGTGATGAATGCTTCAGGTATTAACCTAAGAAGAAAATGTTACGTTAGCTGAATGAGTCCATTTGGAAGGACTTTCCAGGTCATCAAGTGAATCTCTTTTTAGCTGGGATGGGTTCCATCAACGGACAAATTTACATTCGTGATTGATTCATGGTTGGAATTGGCCTTTCCAGTATCGTGAAATTTGACCTTTTTTGCTATGGAGAAAAGTCAAAAACTATTCATAGAGAAAATCAAACAACAAACGAATTAGGCAATGTTGAAAATGCTATTTCAGTGCCTGTGAATTCATACGTTACTGAGCTATGATGTCAGTGTCTTCTTGCAATGTTATTGATTGGAGTTGATGATGGCTGAAAAGCACGCTGCTGATAACATGTCTCTATGAAATCCTTGAAATAATATCATGATTCTCATACGTAAGATGATGCAGGGAATGCCATGATTCGATATTACTATGTAGTACTTGATTGTTTGATCGGTAATTCACTGCTAATAACATTCAATTTGCTCTAAACTCCAGAATATTTCATTAGTTTCAAGATTAGCTAGAATAAAAAGTGATGCAGGCATCTGAGAGTAAGACGCTTCAAATGGTTCGGTTTGAGTTATGATGTTATGATTTGACTGATTCTTATATTTTATATCATTTCCGTAGAATTAAATTTCTTATTGGCAACTATGTTCACAAGAGAAAGAGATGGAGCAACTGGAGCTAACAAAATGTTGCCAGTTTTTCTAAAGAATATGTTTTTGATAATGCATACAGTTCAGTTGTTGGTGTATCATATGGAAGACGATACAGTACTTACAATGATTTCCTATATAATGTTGATATTTTATTGAAATTAATTCAAGAACAAAATCCCCAAACATTTATCAAAAAGTTGATTCGACTTAGTATATTATGTGAATAAAGTAACTATATTTGCAATTTTTATATTGAGTTTGGGAGATCTTCTCAATGCATCAATAATAGGAGATATTTTCTTTGTCAAAACCTCAATATGTTTGTCCCACTTCAATTTGTCATCGAACCAGATACCTTAACACTTTGTCTGTTCAGTTTGTCTCAAGAATACATTCTTTCAGATTAGGCTGAATTTTCTGTTTATTTTTTTGTTGAAAAGTCATGTTTTCAGTTTGACTTGTATTTATAGATGAAATATCAGAGTGGAGCCATTTTTCAAATAATATGAGATCGTTATTTATCACAGTTTCTAAAATTAGAGGATTTCTGTTTCCATATAAAAGCACTGTATCGTCTATGAATCTTTGATATTCAACAGAAAACATCTGCTTTCCTGAGTGAAACCACGGAATATCGAATTGTATCTGTCAAAAACCTATTGTAGATACCTGATATGGGACAAAAGAATTGAATGTACAATAGCTATGCTTCAAATGTTGAAGTTTTTCCACTCATCCCGTTCAGGTGCTGAGCGTGCTGCGATACCTCGGCGGATCCTGTTCGAAGAGAGAGAAGAAGAAGAGCGACGAAGAGGCCGTGTCGCTCGGCTCCTGACAGCGACCAACCACAGAAGGCGCTGCGCCCGTCAAAGACGCCGTCAAAAGGACGCAGTCGCAGTCGCAGCACCACAGCCTGCCGAGGAGAGGGGGTCATTTCCAAAGGAACGCTCCTGGTAGGCGGTCAGCTGGGATGGGTGAGAGTTCGCTACTACAAATTTCACTCCACAGACAGCACTTCATGAAACTCTGCGAACAAGTGCAATCATTCTGAAGGCATCTTCCTGATAGCACAAGTGTATTCCTAAAAATGTTCCGAGAATGTCCACGTGCGACAATAGATGTGTTCCGGGAATATCTCAAAATGTCGTCGAACATACCAGGGTCATTCCCAGTAGAGCCGTTGTGGGCAAATTGTATATACATTCCAATAATGTCTCATTGGGACACCGGAACAAAAATGTTAAAACGATATGTCCCTCTCAGAGACTGAACCCCAGACCACATACTTGAAATGCAGATGCGTAGTAACTGAGCTACGAGGTACTTGGAGAAATTAGACAATTGTGTATTCTTCAGCATAATTACGATATTTCCAGATTGATACTGATATGATACTGAGGAAAAAACCTAAAAGTCTGTTAACACAAACTAGAAATAGTACTTTTCATGTCATTTTCATCTGTATAAATGTAAATATGAATTCATTTTTCCAATAATAATGATGATGATACTCAAATGATTCATTCAACAAAGGAGATTGAGAATGAATAATAAAACAGAATAGGTACATAATTATGACATACGCTATCACATTACAGTTTCACAATTTCTCAGATGGATATACCTAAACATCATATTATTGTATAGGTATGAATCAAGTGTTGAGAACTTTTAAAACGAAACACGTTATTCAATCCTGTGTCAAAATAATATGTTCATGGAATGATTATGCGTAAGTGTTCCGGGAACATTCTCAGTGGAACGTTCCGTGCATATACCATAGAAAGCCGGGACATTGCGACTTGAATGGAACATGAATTGAACGTTCCGGGAATAACGTGTGCTATTAGGGCTGATATAACTGTTTTTGTTAGTGATAAAAGTAATAATTATGATATCTTTATTGCTTCTTAAAACAGAGTTTTACAGTAAGGGTCAGATATACGATGTGAGACAGTTTTTTGTAGCAGGACTTCAACAGCTTGAGATTATTATAACGTAATTCAGAAAACTGACGTCATAGGTCAGTCACTTCACTTCGGGTAAAAAATCAATGTGTGTTTTTTCATGAGATTTGATTTGTAAAATGAAAGGATAATGCACTCGACATGTCTCTATCTATTTATGAAATTGAACAAAGGATAGTTTCAATATAAAAATATTATGCTCGTGATATGGCCTCTACTTCCATCTTACATGAGCAATGATAAAATATCATCTGCTTTTATAGCGTCGTATAAATTATCTGACCCCTATACTAATCTGCTAATACCTAATGAAAACTACATCTATACTAATCTGATACCTTTCAAAAACTACGTACCTCACTTGTTAACATGCTTCGCAACACTTTGCAAACCTCATTCTTTGGCCTTCAGGTTCCGAGCCACTCGTGGAATACTTCGTCCCTCGCAGCGTCAGCGAATTCGACCTGTCGATGACGTCAGGCGACACCCCCATCCCGCACACCTTCCTCCCTCTGACGGTCCGAGTGCCGCGCAAACTCCTCCCCAAGCACAAGGAGAAGATGGTGACCTTCGAGGACGAGATGGCGTCCCGCATCTCCAAGGCCACCGAGCTCCAGGACGTCTTCATGTGACACAAGGGATAACAGATGGAGGGGGGCGGCAAAGATGGCGGGCTCGGCAGAGATGGCGAGATCGGCAGAGATGGCGGGTGCAGCAAAGATGGCGGCGAGTACATCACCAAGCTGAGCGACCTGGCCGGTAAGAGCAGCGAGCTGAGCGAGCTGAGCGCTGCTATAAACGATCTGAACAGCGCCAAGAAGGAGCTGAAGCAGTTCAAGAGCTTCAAGATCTGCGAGGACTTGAAGAAGTGCGAGGAGGGGTGTTCGTGCAACGCTGAAGCTGACTGTGACATTTGTAAGGTGTTGGATTTTACGCTCAAGAAGGACAAGTTATAGTTGACTGTGGATGCTGAAGTGATCATAGAACCTGGGACTCTGATTTGCTTCTGAGTGCATTGAAGTGGAGTTATACAGACTGTGATTGAGTAGACGATGAATACTCACCCAAAAACCTCACGAATATAAGGTGCGAATGACAGACCAGTTTAGCTAAGAAATACAACTTTTATCGTTACATATCTGAATTTTCTATGAAGGATTCTATTTCCATAAGTAATACTATATGAGTGTTCACAATAATATCGATGGGGGTTCTGCAAGAAATCAAATAGATCAAACTGCTTGGTGACACCACGAGTCCGTTCTAGACAGAATTTTCAATAGTGATGTGAACACTAATTGAATTTATTGAGATGATTTCACGACCTTTATGAAACTGTCATCTCCATATTATACCAGGTGACAATATCTTGTTCTCCTTAAAATCGTGGTTGCCATGACGACGTGATCTTATACCGGCTCGAAAGTAAGAAGCATCGTACTATTCTGATTGGTTCCCACAATGTTTGAGATGACAGTTTCATATACGTCATGGAATTGTCAATTCATCTCGACCTCCTCAGATTGAACTGAATGTTGATAATATGTGACTTTTTGATATCCAATGCAATGATCCTGTTTCCTTTCTAATCCTAAGTGTATAACTCGTCCAAGACACAGGTGTGTGAGTCCTCTTTTTTCCTTTCATGGTATTTCTTAGTCACGGAATATAACTCACCTGGTCTTATAACGAACTGTGTTACTGCCCATCTCGAGTAGATTAGGTACCTACGATGATATACTGATTGAATGAACGCACATCATTGATTTTTCTACAATATTTGGAAGGTGCCACGTGATGTATGACAAATGGTCATTTTTTATAATGGAAAAGAAATTTCCACTCAAAGGCGTTCTATACACCAGAGGATTCACAGAAATCCAATTATGATCATTTCACATGTCTTAGTTAATACGAATAGAAATGTATATAATACCTGTATGTAAATATTTTTGAACTTGTAATACCACTTTTTCGATGAATTCAAGTGATCCTTCTCAAATTGTGGTTTTGAAAATTCTTGTCCCTTCTCGATTTCTTGTGAAATTATAGTGCATATGAAAATTTCTTGGTGACAAGTGAGAGTAGATACGATAACATTAAATATATCTTTCCAGGAAGTTTGAAGGGAATTATTATATCTATTCAGGAGGAAGTGAAAACTGTCAAGAGTCTCAAAACTATTTTCGTTCTACCAATTTGACACAATATTTTTTGGATATAATTCCAGTGGTACCAACTTGAAGTAATAAAATGACATTTTACTTAAGAAATATATTGGTTTTATTCGTGGGAAGAATCATTCTTCATTCATCAATCATGTTCTTTGATATATATATACAGGGTGTCCCTAGACCAGTGGGACAGTTGAATATCTCCTGAACCAATCGGAATTTTCGAAATATTATAATTCCACATCATATCGCATTATGAGTGCTAACTTCAGGAATAACTATATTTTCTACGAGGGGCACAAGAAAGGCTCACAAAATCGAACATCAATTTTTTCAAATGGAACACCCTGTATTTTATTGCATTTTCATAATCTCCTTGAAGAGCTGAATTCAACGACCTAGCACACTTGGGCTCTAGCGGGAATGATTTCCGAGATATAGGGTGTGGAAAATCGAGATTTTTCATTTTTGGGAATTTTTTGTGTCAAAACTATTCATTATTGGTCAAAACGGCTTACATGTCCATATCTTAACTTTTGATTTACTATCCACTCGTATTTAAATTAAACAAATACAGGGTGGTGTAGAATTCTCAGGTTCAGTCGGAATTCCACACCACCCTGTATTTGTTTCAATTAAATACGAGTAAATAGTAAATCAAAAGTTAAGATATAGACATGTAAGCCGTTTTGACTAATAATGAATAGTTTTGACACAAAAAATTCCCAAAAATGAAAAATCTCGATTTTCCACACCCTATATCTCGGAAATCATTTCCGCTAGAGCCCAAGTGTGCTGGGTCGTTGAATTCAGCTCTTCAAGGAGATTATGAAAATGCAATAAAATACAGGGTGTTCCATTTGAAAAAATTGATGTTCGATTTTGTGAGCCTTTCTTGTGCCCCTCGTAGAAAATATAGTCATTCCTGAAGTTAGCACTCATAATGCGATATGATGTGGAATTATAATATTTCGAAAATTCCGATTGGTTCAGGAGATATTCAACTGTCCCACTGGTCTAGGGACACCCTGTATATATACATATATATATATAAAGGGTGTTTCAGACTTATGTACATACGATACTGGCAGATAGAGGACACTTTGGCGGTTTCAAATCACCCCCATTGATGTGTTTACCGTCTCTTATAACTGAGATACAGGACGTTATCTTGATTTTGGCAAAATCATCATCTGGTCATAATTTTTGAACCACGTAGTATAATCTATTCATACTTGGTAGAAATATTTCACTTATATTACACATCGAAACTAAGTGAACATTGAGATCGGAATCCAGGTCCGTCTTAAGGAAAAACAGAAAACTTGTTTATTTCACAAACAACACTCTGTATGGCAGAATTTTGTGGATCTGTTCTGATATTTGGAAGAGCAGGAAAAAATTAATAAAGTGACCTACTTATTACGAGCGCACATCCAATTTGACAGATAGTTTATTATTATGTTTTGGAATATTCACCCCATTTCGAGGCATTTTCATTTCAAAAGCCAATTTTGATACAAAAAAATTAATGTCTTCAAAGTTGAACGTCATGAGAAGAAAATAAGGTGAACTATTGATAAATTTACCGCAGCTTATGAATCAATAGAGACGAATAAAACGAGCCCTCAAAAATTTCCAAAACGACAGACGTTATTCTGTCGAACGAACAGATCTATCTATTTCACCCCAATGATGTTGAACTTCGAAGTTATTATTTTGTGAAATAATTGGATTTTTAATTACGAATTCAATAAAAATGACTCAAAATGAAGCCGAGTATATCAGAAAATAATAATAAAACATCTGTCAAATCGGATGCGCGGTCGTGAGAAGTCGGTCATTTCATTCGTTTTTTCCTGCTTTTTTCAGATATTGAAACAGATCTGGAAAAATTTGTCATACAGAGTGTTGTTTTTGATATAAAAGAAGTTTTCTGTTTTTCCTCAAGACGGACCTAGATTCTGCTCCTGATTTTCATCCAGTTTTGATGGGTAATATAAGTGAAATAGTTCTACCAAGTATGGATAGATTATAGAAAGTGGTTCAAAAGCTATGACCAGATGATGATTTTGCCAAAATCAAGATATCGTCCTGTATCTCAGTTATAAAAAACGGTAGACACATCAGAGGGGGGTGATTTGGAACCATCACAATGTCCCCTATCTACAGATATCGTATGTACATTTAAATCTGAAACACCCTGTATATCCAAGACTGGAACCTTTGGCACGATAATACACTACACTGTTTCAACACTAAACAAACCGATTTTTCAAACGCCTGGACACTTGTTTCGCTAACTATGTTAGCATCTTCAGGAGAAGATCAAAACTCATTTTTAGAGTTTAAGAGTTGATGTTCGATGTCTCGATCGACCGAATTGTTGACGGATTTTGACCATACGAGGGAGGATGAATATGATGAAGAATGAGAGTATTGTTTAATGACTATTCTCAACTTATATTTGTTCAACTTATAATATAAATTGACACATGGCGTTAACAGCTTCCAACGAAGATGATTCGAACGAAACTGTAAAACTTTCAGCATGAAATTTAGATTATTTCTAATAATCACCTAGAATACTGAAATACGAGAAGCCATATGACGGGAGGCAGAAAAATAATGTGTACAATGCTACTTTAAGAAATGAACATATGGAACGTATTTGAAGATCCCAAGAGTTGAATTTTCTGTGGTGTTATTCCAAAGTATAGCAATTTCTTCCTTGACATGTCTTGAATTTCCTCACTATATCTTGATACCGTCTGACAACGTCTTCACTGAGTTCATATGCCAAATTCTTGAGCTCATATGGATCAATCATCAAATCATAAGTTTCCCGAAAAGCCTGTAAAAATATTACACAATCATTAATTAGGAGGCGAACGAATATATATGTTCTTGAATAAAAAATTCCTCATATTTTTTGTGACGGAAAAACATTTTTGACATTTCATTCCTGTTGATAGGTTACAAAATGTGACTTTTTGAACAATAGCTTTTTCCCACGGCAAAAAAGAGAGTACTTTTTGCCTCCGAGACAGAACTGTAAGTAATTTTTATCTTTCATTCCACTTCGCGGTTTCGTAAATTATTATAAACAACCACTAAGTTCGCAATTTTTCAAAATCATACCTCAGAATTGAAGTGACATATATTTGATTATTTCAAAAGGTTTCCATAGCAACAAAGATGTCTGCAATTCCGGTGTAATTGTCGTAGGCTAGCAGTTAAAAACTTCAAATCTCACATCGATAATTTCCTGATTTGAATGTAATGTATAATATCCTCTCAATATTTAATCGTTGTTTTTTCCGTCACAGAAAAAAATTGTCTATTATAGACGGGAAAAATATCAGACTCTACCTCTCGGTTTTCTGTTTCCCTCCACAACATGTATATATGTCGTCAACAGCAGATGACATAATTATAATTCAGACACATCGTGATTCAGACTAATTGTCGAAACTTTTTCGATGTACTATATGACAGTAAGTAAAGTATAGTACGTAATGCGTGATGCAGAGCAATCACGCAGTCATGAAATATACTGATTTATGATATTATTATACACAATAATGTATTTAATTACCTTGAAGCTGTGAAAATAGGTAGATCAAAGCTTACCTGCTCATCTTCAAACTCGCAAAACTTCATTTGCTGACTTTGAGTCAATTCTATGATGCAACTGTAGGTATTGTTTCTTGAATCTTGACATTTACACCATTGATCCAAACTACATTCCTAGAAGAAAAGAAATATTCATATAGTTTATATGAGCAATCAAAATCATTTGATTTCGTCCGGAAGGTTTAGTCAGATCACCAAAATTGTCTTGAATTTCAAAACTCAGAATGCTAAAAACTGTTTACCCCTTTCCAAAAAGTATTCTTTTCCGAGCGCTATCCATAGAGATGAAAAAAAAATATGAATTCCTTCCGGAAATTAGAATATATGCATCTAATGTACCTAGTGAAAACTAGAACTCACAGACAGTTCATCATCACCTTTCCATGGACAACGTGCATCAATTGTTTTTGGTGCTCCTTCTCCCCAATACTCCACGAAAATAAAGTCATTTGTAGGTATTTCTGCACTTGAAAACAATTGTGACTTGAAACTTTTGCCATCCATAGAGCTTGGAATATTTACATCCGCTAGATCTAAGATAGTTGGCGCTATGTCAACAGCAGAAACTGGATATTTGGTTAGAGTTCTCTTCGGTATTTTTGGCCCAGAAATGAGGAATGGTATTCTGATATCTGTTTCGTATGGTTGACGTTTGTCCCATGGTTGAGTGAATTGGCCTAGAATAAATATTTGAGCTTATATATGTACAGTGTCATTCATAAAGTCGGCATCATATGGGAAAAACTTTTATTAATGACTTATTTTGAAATTCGAGTTGGACGTTAGTTTTGCTTCCAAAAAGATGAAAAATGGCCTACTCAATCGGGGTCACGTGACTTTCGCTACATGTCAAAAGTGACATTTTTTTCAAATTGATCGCTGAAAGTAGGCTTATTTGTTCGAATATCGAAAAAGTTCACTTGAAAAAGTTATTTCTATTTGAATTCTACATATGTGACTCGGATTTTATCTTTCTATTACATTTTTTAGATTTCGATATTTTTTAAAAATTTTCGAAATTTCTGTAATATTAAAAAAATTCTAAATTCGATAAAACTACTTCATACCAGTAGCTTCATCATGTTACTAACTTTCAATTACCAATTATCACTAATAATTATCGACAAAAATCTCCGCTTCAAAACTCTGTTATGTTTGATGCAAACATAACATCAAAATAATTCTGTTATGTTTGAGTCAAGCATTCAGAAACGAAATTCAATTAAATTTATTTTCTTAGTACTGAAAAGATCAGTTTAAATGAATTTCGTTTTTAAATTCTTGACGATATATCAACTTTGCATCGAACATATCAGGATTTGGAGGCGGGTATATTATAATTTTCTTCAGAAAATTATATTTCTGTCTATAATCAGTGATAATTAGTAATTGAAATTAGGTAGCATGAAAAAGCTACTGGTATGAAGTAATTTCGTGGAATTAACAATTCTTCAAATATTACAGAAATTTCGAAAAATTAAAAAAAAAATCAAAATCTAAAAGTTTCAATAAAAAGATCAAATTCGAGGAGCATGTGTAAAATTGAAGTAGAAACAACTTTTTCAAGTAAACTTTTTCGATATTCGAACAAATAAGCCCACTTTCAGCGATTAATTTGAAAAAATTTCACTTTTGACATGTAGCGAAAGTCACGTGACCCCGATTGAGTAGGCCATTTTTCATCTTTCTTGAAGCAAAACTTAACGTCCAATAACACAAATTCCAAAATAAGTCATTAATAAAAGTTTTTCCCATATGATGCCGACTTTATGAATGACATTGTAGATTGAATCATTGACATTCTGAATGAAATTAACATTATAGTCGAGGTATCATCGGTCACGTGCACATTTGATAACAACATCACTCTTCTTATTTGTTCACAGATATTCATTGAAAAACAATTATTTTGGCATACAAATCGTATTTCTAGGGTTATTTTCGATTTGAGCATGCCATCACATTGTGCTGTTGTACAATGCCCAAACAATCTAGCGAGAGTCGAGGGATTGATGATTTTCAAGGTATATTGTGATATGAAAGTACTGTAGTCACTCTTATATTTTCCATTTCACAATTTTTTGTCACATCCCTTCAGAATTGCTTCTGCATTAGGAGCTAATGTGGAACTGTCTACAACACACACCACCATTTATATCAGGCCTCCCATTTGATTGCACGAATCCAAGCTTCCTGCCTTCTTTCAAAAACTCCACAAGTATTTTCATTAGCAGCTATTGAAGAAGTAATCCTTGATGTAAGTGACACAACTAGGTACAGTTTTAGATCACATTATGCCTGAAAAATCTTATTCCTTCGTCTCTCGCTGCATTTGTGAATTGTACAACAGCATAATATGATGACATGCTCAAATCGATGAATAGCCCGTATGCCAAAACAATTATTGTAAAACACTATTCCAATCTTATGTAATCAAATGAAACAAGTGAGGTTGCTTCAGCTCAAGGGTCGGTCACCTGTTGTGCACTGATTCAAACTCTATTTCCCTGTTATTAGCGCTTGTTTACTGAAAAATATCAATAGCTTATTTGTTTCAATTGAATATGTGTCAATATGAACAGAGGTTGCAGTTCTCATATTCTATTTTCACTATAATTATTGTATACTCAACCATGCATTTTCTTACTAATATCAACTCTGACAAATCACAATTTTGATTCGATTTTGAAGCAATTATGTTTGTTATAATAGTGGAGTATATTCTCCCAATTACTTGTCCAATTGTGAAATCAATTTTTGGGCTTACCCAACCATGCCTTTGTATTTTCACTACGCAGTGATCTGTGCGAAATATTTTTCATTTTGGAACACAGGCTGCTTGACTGAAATCCTATCGAAAGGCTTAATTTGCTAACAAATAATGTTAATTAACTTCAATGCATGAACTCGATATGATTCTTTCATATATCATTTTCTAACATCAAAATATATACAGAATAATAGCCTCCAAGAGGCATACTGAGTGAAATCACATTCGTAAATCTGCCACTATCTGCCGGTCTAACTTGACAGAAAGGTAGATCTTGATAGGAATAGGTCTTATTATATATTTCTTTACAGAGGAAGCAAAGGATTGAAATAGTTTGTCACAATATTTTGGCATACAAATCGTGTTTTTTGTCCTATTCATTGATTCAAGCATGCCTTCTCATTGTGCTGTTGTACCGGGTGTACCACTAAGAAAGGACGCCGGCTGTATCTCGGAAACTATTTGCCGCACAGGTTTCGAATAAAAATATGAATGATGAAAGTGGCCAAGAGAAATCTCTGGAAATTATTTTCAAGTTTCCAGGACAGCCGGAACGAAATAGCTGAAACAATCATTAAAAAATGTCTCCATAATTATCATCAGACAGATATTAAAATTTTGTATTCCCCTATTCTTCTCCTGTTTTGATGACAAAACTGGATATTCCGCAAGAACAAATCGGATAATCAATTGAATCAAATGAATCATGTTCAGTGAATCGAGATACTATTGTGTATTTTCGAATCAAACAGTATATAAAGTTATGGACAATATACCAGGTACAATTGAATTTTAATCAGCCCAACCAACAAAAGGTGTTGAAACAAAAATAAGAGAAGCATATAATTCATTTAATATTCCAGCTCAGATGTTATGAAGAATGAAAGAATAATTTACTCATTCAACTGAGAAAATCATGTTCTCTATCTCATATTATCACGCCAGATATAATCAGGCAACATGCATACAACAACACTAACTTTCTAATTATTTCATGTGACTCACCAATATGAAATCCATTGTCAGAAGTGAATATAATGTAAGTATTGTCTAGAACATCACTGTCCTTCAATTTGGTAATAATCCCTTTAACTAGTTCGTCAACTGCCAATAGAGATTCCAATCTGCCCTGTTGAATTCCATCCAAAATGGTTACGTTGGCTGGTAAAGTAGTGGGGGTCATTCCAACTAACCAGTGTTTCTTAAAAATAATAGTTATTTATGGTACTAGTGTGTTATGTTGAAGATAAGTCTCGCCTGAAATATTTATAGCACGAGGCCGTTAGGCCGAGTGGTATAAATTCTCAAGTGACTTAGGAAACATAACACAAGAGTGGCATACAATGTTTTATCCAACAAGTGGAAGAAATCGTTTTTTATGAGATAATAATTAATAAGTTTTGTGATCAAATCAAAGCTACCTGCGTCTCAGTACCCTATATAAATGTCAGAATTACTTGACAGTGACTTTTTTACATTTTGGTTAAAGTAGGTTGTTTGTTAGGTTGCCACGGCATGATACATTGTTAGCTAATGTTCAAATAAATTTTGACACTTGTCAGTTTTCCCTGCAGAAAAAGGAAACTTTTTTGAAAAGAAAAACGTTCAGAAAATGGAGGAAACCAATGAAAACTACGTTCCTGAGGATATCCTTATTTATTTTGCCAGAAAAGTCCCGAGATGCTTGCGACAAGAAGTTCAAAATGTTTGAGTCTTGAATAAATCCACAGAAGATGAAAGGTATCGATGAAAACGTTCTATTGGTTCATTTTTTACATTTGCAAAAAAAAAATAGCCCCATGGTCGTTATGGACCAAATACTCGATGCTTCGCTCGACTATTCACCTTTATAAAAAAATCGACATTTCAAAATATGGTAAACTAACGAGCTTCTTGAAAAGAAAATCACACGGATACAAATCAAAGAATTCCAAGACATTAGAACGACCTGAAATTGAAAAGTTTTCAACGAAGCTCCCGATGACGAGTACTTGTTGATGAACGTGTCTTTGATAATGGGGAATAGTGGTGCTTGTAGATGCGATGAATTGGTCAATTTGATAATAAAAAATATTCAAGACAAAGGGAAATATTTTCACGTAGTTTTGCCAGACACTGAAACCAAGAAATCGAGGATTTTCACCATACTTGAAGAAGGATTTCCAGTCAACCCGATCAATTTGTGTAAAAAATACATGTCTTCGAGACCAAAGAATACTAGTTCTAGCCGCTTCTTTGTTTTTTACAAAAATAGGAGGTGTACCAGCCAGTCTGTGGAAATAAATACGTTATCGAAGATACCTTCCAGAATTGCAAAGTTTTTGAACTTGGAGGAACCAGCGCTCTACACCGGTCACTGCCTGAGAAGGCAGTGGCTAACATGACTACTTTGAAGGGTCACGGAGGATGGAAGTCCTCGACGGTAGCAGAAGGATACCTAGAAGAATTGGTGCATAACAAAATTCAAATTGCAGAAAAAATACAAGGTTCTAATGTGTCAGCGTCTTCCATCACTATCAGCAGCTGTACCGATATGGAAGCATCTGGTTCCAATGAACCAACGAATTTTACAATTACTTCAAATCCGAATAAACCGTTAGCGTTTTCCTTCAATTTCAATATCAATATCCATAACTCACTAGTAAGATATGGCTTATAACACACTATTGTGTTATTTGATAGTTTAACTGTCATGTGTTGGATAAAAAATCTTACTACATTTGAACGAGAATGCTTTGGAGCAATAGATAAGAAAGAATAACGTCATATCGAGTCTTCATTCGAAATAGGATGATAGCCTTCGAAATTTCATAGGAAAATGCTCTTACATCTGATGGAGTTTCATTGAATGAAGGAGTTCTTAGTGCTTTGGTGCCTGGAAACGCATTCTCATGTCTTTTTGCCGGTGTGAATGGAGCATGTGGTGCAGGTGGTGCAATTGTCATAAAAAATGGTTTATCTGGTGCTCGATTCTCCAGGAAATCCAGAGAATGTGCAGCCAGAACATCTGTTAGGTAATCAGCATTGTGAGATACTGCTGTACCGTTCACAGAGAGCGTGTAGTTGTAATATCTTGAGTTTCCTTTGAGTCCAATCCACCAATCGTATCCCTTTGGAATGTGTTTCGTTCCACCAACATCGTCGAAGCCATACTGAAATGAATTAAGGTGGTTAAATGAAATCACATAGCAATTCAATGAAAATGAATGATAATGATAGATTTTTTGAGTAACACTACATTATTCAACGTTCCATAACCACTACTATTATACCTATGTTATATTTCGATTCTGAAGATTGTGGCTATATTATGTCTATCATGATAAATATACTGACGAAATCTTGAAGGTTTCAGAGGATAGGTGTCAATCCTGGTGCACATTTTTTTTTTTTTTTTTCGGATAATGGGTGGAATTCCAGTTACCGATATATGACTTACAGTAAGTTGTAATCAAGTTACCAATTTATTTCAGTATTGAAACATTGACGTCCTGAATTAATATCTCAGTAGGTAGCTACCACATTGTCACGTTGTTTCAATGTTGTGTGAAATATGCTGACGTTGAATGAATTTTTTTTATGTTCTGGTTCCCACGAAAAGGGATATCCTGTAATGTTCAGAAAACATCGTGAGAACCAGGGGAAATAAAGTAGGAATTGGTGTTCTTCTTGAATTTCTGGAGGTTATATGCCTCGGAAAACACCTCCCTTGGAAATGTGTTCCAGAGCCTCGGGGTTCGTTGGATGGACGAGTCTTTGGAAAGAGATGTTCTGCAGGTCTCCAAAGTGACCACGAAGGGGTGCGAAGCCTCAACTCGACGGGTTGATCTCGCGGGGACTGCCAAGGGAGGAACAATTGTTGATATTTCAGAAGAGCATCGTCCATGAAAATATCTATGAAATAGAGCCAGATCGCCAACTTTTCTACGGTGTCCCAGAGAAGAGAGTGAGTTTGTGAGCGAGGCATCACTCACGAGACGAATTGCAATTTTTTGGACAGAATCCAACAGTTTCAGGGTATGTTTGGGTGCTGCACTCCAAATATGGGAACAGTATTCCAGGACAGGTCGGATCTATGCCTTATAGAACATAAGCAGCTGACTGGAAGTGAAATAGCTTCTAGCCCGAAACAGGAAACCAAGTTTTTGGGATGCACTTTTAGCAATAGATCTCACGTGATTTTCCCAAGAAAGGTTATTGCTGATAGTAATCCCAAGCATCGAAATGGATGTCTTCAAAGGTATGGTTACTCCTGACAAGATTATGTTGGGCACAGTGAGATCGGCTTTTCCAGAGAAAAGGCATGCTTGTGTTTTGTTTGCATTGAAATCTACCAAGTTATTGGATCCCCATTCGACAATTGTTGCCAAGTCCATATTTATGTTGTCAACATTACTTCCTCGTTCGTTTCTGATTTGCCTGGCTGGTATTGGAGCCCTGGAAGAGAAGGCGGTATGGAGGGTACTATCATCCGCGAAGCTGTGTACTGGACATGAAGTTGCTTTCAACAAATCGTTGATATGGAGTGGAATTAGTGTTGGTGCTAGAATTGATCCTTCTGGAACACCAGCATTCATGATAAGAGAGTCAGATGAAACTCCGTCGACCACTACATGAAGAGAGGAAACTAGCTAGCAGAGAACATAGCTGGGGAGGCAAGCCATAAGCATGGAATCTTGGCGAGGAGTTCGTGGTGCTAGACTCGATCGAATGCCTTGGAGATATTAAGTGCCATGGCTAAGGTTTCACCATATTTTCCAATAGATTGCTGCTATATATGTGCGACGTAAGCGAGCAGGTCACCAGTTGATCTCTGATGACGAAAGCCATATTGCCTATCGTTGATGATACCAGAATGTTCCAGGTATTTCATGAACTCGATGTTGATAGCTTTCTCCATGATATTCGAAATAATAGATAGCAGTGCGATCGGTCTGTAGTTGCTAGGTAGGGTCTTTTTGCCTTTTTTAGGAACTGGTTGTACTCATTCAATTTTCCGGTTGGACGGGAGCATCCCCAATTAGTAAATTCTCCATCTTGATCTCGCTGATGCCTAGCTCACGCAATTTGAGTAGATCATTTGATGATTGTTGATTGTTGATTGAGGATGAGGATGAGAATTTTCGAAAATGTGTGTCAAATTGACTCTAGTCAACAGTGTCATCTGCTGGTGCAGATGTAACGTTATTTCTATGAGATGAAATAACTGATCACGAAAACGTTAAAGAAAGGAGTAGGTATTGAAACAGCTACCAATGTTTTATTAGAAACATTTTAGATTGATGGAAACTGATAATTATATAATTCTATAATTCACGATCTGTATTCAGGGGTGAAGGTGGTATAGGGTGATGGTGAAAGGGTGATGGTGAAAGGGTGATGGTGAAAGTGTGATGGTCTGATGATGTGTGTTCATTGGAAACTCACCCTATTCAAATATTTTCCAGCATAGAAATTCAGATATCCACTGGAGTTCTTCAGCAAGGCTGCTATAGATGAAGGTTCATGCTGCTCCTGCCAATATTTACTAGAACAGTTTCCTGATACTGTATTATTGGTAACACCTGTATTGTGTGCATATTTTCCAGTCAAAATCGTACTTCTACTTGGACAGCATATAGGAGTGTTCACAAACTGTGAATATGGAATAGATTGAATACATATCAGTATGCGAGAAAACTGAAACTGGGATTGAAGAAATGTTCGAGTACAGATTTCAATCCAGTTCATTATGTAATTATTGATATTTCATTTATAACAAACACTGTTGCTGAGAAACATTGGGATTTGGAATGAAATAAGTGAATTCTACACACAAGTATCCCTGTGACTTGCTTCTGTCTGAGAAACGAATACGACGCAGTTCATTCATATTGAAGGTGATGATTTCATATGTTACTGAAACTGAAAGATAATCTCCATCATTTTCGAATTGTCTATTAAATTTCGAGTCCAACTTTATAGGAACAAGCAACAGTTGTCAATAGAGTTGCCTAGCAACAGTAAAGTTACTTGGCAAGAGTTGATTGAAATGTCTAGCAACGGTACAATTAATCGCTTCACGGTAAACATGTCTGAGAAAAAAGACACTTACGGCGTTTTGAAAAGTTTTACCTTCATTGGCTATCAGTTTCAATGTATTTTTCATCGGCACCTATAATGAAAAAGAATTATTCCTTGTTAGAGATACTGATGAGTATAATATGATGATGTATTCACCAGTCCATCCAGGAGTAAATCCTGATCGTCGGTTATAATCAGGACAAAATTAGGATGAGCCATGGTGTTTGCCATGAGCATGATGAAAGTGTGGAAGAGTATCCCAGCTGTCAACATATTCCAAGTGCAAATTACCTGAAATATAGTAGAAATACTTTCATTTCGTTTCTTTCATTCGGGGAACAAGTCCTTCATAAAGGGTAACAATGCTCCCTATACCCAAAAAACCTGACCCCTTTGCTAGGGTAGGTAGAACACTGCGAAATAAGCTGGGTTTGCTCGGTAAAAAAATGTCATAACAGCCTCCGTTTTCATGATACAAGGATATTTTTAATCATTTTTTACGATTATGTCGAAACTACTGGCAACATTGTGATTCGTACCGAGTAGTTTTGAACATAACTTTTTTGAGGTTGAATTTCATACCGAAAAGGTTCTCTTGGTGAAACTCGATACTATGTTCCGTTTTCGGAATATTTCGATTTGAAAATAATGGAGTAGTTATGATGCTGGTATGAAATTAATTTAATTGAGTTCAATTACCTATTTATTTAGGTTCAAAAACAATGAAATCATTCTTGTGCTGAAGTTATTGATGGAACAAAGAATCAAAAGTAGAAAATTAAGGGATATTTGACTAGAAACATGAAATATTGAATCAGTAAGTGTTCAGAATGTCCTACGTTTCGACAAATAAACGATTCTATATTATATCATTCTTCTAAACAGTTGAGGATCAGTTGTTAGGTCATTTAAGTGATGTACAATTATGTCCTACAACTCTTGACGTGAATTTACCTATGTAGCATAGACTTTCTGCTCAAGATACAACAAAACTGTGTAATCCATTTAGCAGTTTAGCATCAGAAATGTATTGTTGTTTTCGGTTTTCAATGAATAGGTGATAATTTTTCATAATATTCACTCTAATACATAGCTTTATACCACCAACAGTTATCACTTCATCATTTTCAAATCGAAATATTCCGAGAACGGAACACAGTATCGAGTTTTATCATGAGTATCTTTTTGGTGTGAAATTGAATGATGTTTAAGTTCACATCAAATTTGGATTGAAAAATCTAACCTCAAGAACGTTATGTTCAAAACTACTCGGTACGAACCGTGTAATTAGCGCCCTCTATGAGAGTCAGATATAAAAACAAATGCATGCGATGTGTCGGATTCTAAGATACATCCATACAAAATTTCATCACAATGTTGCCAGTAGTAACAAGCAACTATTGAAAAATGTTAAACATTTCACACAAAATTCTCAACTAATTGACACGACATTTTTTGATAACGCAGAAGTTTCTTCAACTGGAATACTGGTACATTGAAATTAATTATCTTCCAGAAATATTCAGTATGAAATCTACTAATCCTCAATAATATCTTGAATTTACAAGAGTGATCCTCCAGTGTAGTGTAGAATGATCCCCATTCGTTCGAAAACAAAATGAATACTTGTATATTTGGTACACACGGTATATCATTCAGTCATCAGTTCCGAACTATTCTTCCATGTGTTTCTATACTTACTCAGCACCACTGTCAAAACGTACCTTTCCAATTCAAAATCACAAAATTCTACTATATCGATTAAGACTTAAGCGATCACCAAATCACCATACTCATATTGTCTTTTAAACATTTATACTCGAAAACGTTTAATGATTCTCTTTGTTAGTGCATAGTATTACTCAACATTATCTATATATAAATATCGTTGACATTATCGTATACAGTATTTTATTTACATTTCTATAGGTCGATATATCGGTGTTGCCAATATGAGAATTCGAATTTTCCCCAGAAGAAAATTAATATATTCAAATTTCAAGTTAAGACATTTACCTTTGGGAGTTTTTTTTTCATATATTCCACATCTGAAATGCAAGCAGACTTTTCCCAATTCAATATAAACTACTCAACATTAGACATATTAGTATGCATCATTTCAAGTATTTGAGCACCATTTGAATATAATGACAAGAACACACATCCAAATATGCATGCATATTTATATTCTACTTATGAGTGTGAAAATTCAAAAAATTTTAAAACGATTCCGAGGAGAACAGATATAGTGCGAAATGTTTTCACACCTTTGAAAATATTCGAAAAATTCCCAATCCAAACAGGAGGCCTTGGACATTTTTGGAAAACTCAACAGTTTCGATTATCATCCTGCAGATCTCATTCTACAGGAATGCAATAATCATCTTCATAAACTCATGATGAAGTGTTGAGCGGTTTAGTTGAGGAAAAATAATAGAACACGGTTCTTATTCAATAGATTTTATTAATTCTATAAGTGCACGCTAATACACTTTCAATGACATTGAGGTATATCGCCTTTTTAATGGCAGTGCATCAAAAATCAATGAACAATTGGTTTAATATTCAACGATCATTTCTCATAAGTGATGAAAAATTCGTTTATACACACATTCAGGAAAGTACGCATTGAAACAAGTATCTGCCAAATTCATTTTAACAAACTGTTGAATACATTACATGCGTAGGTTCAAGAAATTCTGAATCTTTCAAATATCTTGTAATTGAAATAACAAACTATGATTAAGAAAAATAAAATACATCAGTTCTTTGCGGAAGTCCTACTATTCACACCCAACTAGAATAGCTACATTGTCAAACTGATTTTTTTTCTATACCGCGTGACACATACTCATGGTATACCCCCCCTTTTCTCCTTTGATATCCAGCTATATTTCTGAAATTTGGTACATTCCAGGATTTTTTTTCATCATCCGGTTTTCCTAGAAATTGCATCAACATACAATTTTCAAATCATCACAAAGGAGTAAAGTCGAGTATACCATAAGTCCGTGTAATCCAGTTTTATCTAAATAACACGATATATCTGAATAATAAAATTACATAAGAGCAGAGATTATGAACCTCCTTCGTAATAGGTAACTTTCATTACATGATAACTAAAGAAATCTATCAACAGAATCAATCTATTTAAATCACTAGAAACGAGAGTATCAGTGATGGTATTCTTGGTTTGCATTCACTAGAATTGTTGAATATATACTTCATATCACAGAATAGTATTATTTTGTATTTCGAAGAAGCTAATATTAAACTAACTTAGACTTTGTCGAATATTAAGCCACATGAATTGCAATTTCTCATTTATATAAATTTCAAAGCTTGAAGCTATCAAAACTATCAGTCCTAGAATTTTTCGAAATTGTACTCTGATTGGTCGCGATACAGTTTCATGAAATCACCAGAATTAGTAATAACAGTTTCGTATTTGTTTATGGAGATAGAACATGGATATTCAGTCTTCTTTAGTGCCTGATCAGAGATACCCCTCCAGGGTAGAAACTAGTATTCGTTGAATTCTTATTGTATTCATAAATGCATAATTTGAAGCGATTGAATGACCATATCTTCGGGTGGTCATAGATTTTGGAATGGTTGGAAGCATCCAGTATAGTATGTCTTGGTTATAAACATAGCATACTTAGAATCAAACTCTCTTGCGTTACATCAATCTCAAACAGTCAGTCTATGTCAACTACTTCTAGTTTGTCTCAGAACGTGCTCAATGTTGATGCATTCCAGTACGGCTGCTCCAACTGAACTTCTTCGTGTACTCATTGGGGAAACTACTATCCATTTATTGGTTTTCGGATCGTACTGCTCTACTGCGTTCAAACTTGATGAACCATCGTTGCCTCCCAATGCGTATATCATATTTTCTATTGCCACAACCTCATGTGTTGACCTGTAACCAGAATATAAAGCAACACACACCAACTAAGTTCCATCCAGCCTCAAAACCTCTCAATAGTTTCTCACCTCCTATTGTGCATCGAAGTTATGGGTTCCCAAGAGTTTCTTCTGACGTTAAACCTTTCACCACTGGACATACACATTGTACCATCATTACCTGTAAGAGAGAACAATGAAACACTTGTTACACCTGTAACAACATATCGTAAGTCCACCTCCAATACAGTAGAGATGTCCGTTCAAAGCTGCTACCCCACAGCTGCTTCTTCTAGATGACATTGATGGTACCGAATGCCATGTACCTTCTCTTGGATCAAATCTGGAGTAAATAAAAAATCAATTCAGTTCATTTGATGCTTCCATGCGATCATGTTGATATAATGAATTATTAAACACAGACCTTTCTACTGAAGCCTGATAATTTGTGGAATCGAACCCTCCGAGAGCGTAAATACAATTCTCCACTACCGCTATCCTGCAATACCGTCTCCTGGTGTTCATAGCAGGACAACTACACCATATCCCAGTAAGTGGGTCAAATCTCTCCATTGAACTCAAGCAGGAGGCCCCATCGTATCCACCACATACATAGATCAGTCCATCAAAAGAACAAATTCCTGCGAGCAACATCAGGTTAGATAGTGGTTGTGTTCATCAATAATGGTATAACTTGATTGGTAACTCACCTAAGCATGACCTTTTGGTCCCCATTGGTGTTATAGATGACCAGCTATTATTCAAGGGATTGAAGTATTCCGCTGTTGCCAGGTCAGCAGCTCCATCATATCTAGAACAATTTTCGTTGAGTAAAAAGTATAATGTAACTTTGATCACGAAGGCGATAATTTTACTCTCAATGAATTTGTTGATTTTGAAAATTTCACACCACTAGAATTTACCCTCCAACGACGTATAGTAGCCTCCTCAATCCTGTAACACCTGACCTGGATCTGCGCCATTGCATTGGTGCTATAAGGGACCAAGAATCAGTCTTTGGATTGTATACTTCACACTCCGAATGGATGGCGAATAAAGAACCACCACCTATCAACATTCGGTAAATTGTATTATGTGGACTAGCTAGGGAAGAACATAATTACCTATAGCGAATAAATAGGGATTGGCACCATTTGGTTTCCTTTCCATGGTTCTAGTAGTTGACAAGGCACATCTTCTTTCTGGCGCTAAATGATATCGCATTGCTTCTAAAAGAAGTTCCCTGCAATCGTTGTTATCCCTGATGAGTTTTTCGTTATCAACTCGTGTCATTAGAAATTCTCTATTGACTAAAGGCAGTCTCACATGTTGCATTAACTGAAAAAAAAACAACGTAACTTCAGAGATAGCCTATCGGAGACAGTTGTAATCATATGCTTTGATCAATTTGGCACTGCCCGAAAATCTACCTGAATAGAAAAAAGTAAAAATCTTGCCATTTACATACTTTAGAAATATACTGGCTCCTCTCAGCTAAGTCATGCTTGACCCAATTCAAAACTGCGGTAAAGACGTCTTCTTCTGACGAAATGTTCAGTTGACTGTTCGAAATCAAATCATTCACCTAAAAATAGAAAAATCAACTTGACTGAAATGAATAACTGGAGTTCTTCTTTGTCTACCTGCTGGAATGGTAGTAGCAGAAATTCTTCAGTGCCTACAACTTGCTGAAAATTTTGAAGGGCATAAACATGTGACTTCAGGTGGAGTTCTTCACAAGAATGAGTATCTGGAACAGAAATATTCAATGAGTATGGTATCGCTCTCACGTAAATTGTAGATGAAGGAGGCCCCAAGACAGTACCTTGAGGTACCCCACCCCACTCTTATTTCTCGATAATTCTCTGTAAAAGTTTTGACGCTCAATGTCTTATTGCTCACCTGCGAAACTCCTGATCCCTAAACAGTTGGTCGGATGCAGCTGCCTGAGCAGGAACCTACAGCAGGCTTCTCTGACTTCCTGCATCTGCAACAGACTACTAGCAGGCAACAGTACCTGGACGTTATCGGCAGTGATAATTATTTGTCCTGTATAGGCATACTCGATCAACAGGTCAATGGCAGTGGGGTCTAGATCGAGCAAAGCTATTTCTGATTGGCTGTGTTCCTTCATATCACCTAGGATTCAACAGGTGAGTATTATACACGTCTGGCAAGAAAAAACTGATCATGGGGAAACCATCTATTCAATACGTCTGGAGGTTCACGAGTATCTGATACAGATAGAGAGAAAAACGAAGCAACACTGCCAAACCTTACACAAGCAGGCAGGTATAATGGCAACGCCGCTTAGGTCACTTTCTTTCTATTAGATACCCATGAGTATTCACTTCAATAGATGGTTTTCCAAATTTTGATATAACTCGCAATCTACGAAGCACACTATGAACTAGTCTTAAACTAGATTTGAAAAGTCTACTCACCATTGAACATCGCAAAAAAATATGCACTAACTGATGCTAGAACAACTTTATGGGCTCTAAATTTTTCTAATCCTATTCGCAACGTAATATCACATAGCTATAACAAAAAAGAAATATGTATGCAATATAACAAGGATCTTTGTGAAAAATATTTCATCATTATACAAATTGACACTTATGCGACAATGGGTTGCGTGCAAGAACTGTCAGATGACCGACGCTGGAGGCAAAACATTGAAACACAACGTCACTTTTCTTATTTGTTTACAAGTGATGGAAATAGTTTTTCACAATTATTTTGGCATACGAATCGTATTTTTCCGCTATTCATCAATTCGCTCATGCCATCACATTATGCTGTTGTGAAATGCACAAAAACTGCAGCGGAAGACGAAGTAATCCGGTTGGTACATTATGATTAAAAGTAAGTACCCACTATAGTCACTCACATATAGTTTTCATTTTTGAAATTTGGTAATTTCTCTGATTTCTCATCGGAATTCCTTCTGCGATAGGAGCTAATAGAAATACACCTGAAATTTCTAGAATAATGCGAGAAGATTGGATTCATGCAATCAATCGGGAGGACTGGTCTGGCATGCTGACGATCGTGTGTGTTGTAGACATTTTCAATCTATTAGCAGTATTAGCTTGTATTGCAGAAGTGGCAGAAGGCAGAAGGAATTTTAATAGGGAATGACAACATTTCATAATGATAACTATGTGAGATTACTATTTACCTGAAAAATCATATTCTTTAGTCTCTTGTTGCATTTTTTTGTGCATTGTACAACAGCACAATGCGAAGGCATGCTCGAATTAATGAATAGCGCAAAAAACACGATTCGTATGCCAAAATATTGTGAAAAACTTTGATTCCTCTGTAACCAAATGAAAAAGTGAGGTTGTGTTTCAATAATTCACAGAAGAATGAGGTTGTGTTTCAATATTTTGCCTCCAGGGTCGGTCATTGTGCACGCGACCTATATGTCTTATTAAACCTGTAAAATACCGTGAAACAGGGTTGAGTGAATAAAAAAATGCGTTTTTTATCGTTTCTTCGAGTGTATACAAAAAATAATGTGGGTCCTGGCACCATTTTCGAATGGCTCGAGTCAATAATATCTTCTGAAAATCAAGAAGAAAGCCTTAATTTTTATTTTTTATTTTTGGAAAATCTTATTCACTTTACCGACCACTTCGCGGTGAAATGAATCAGGTATTTTAAAAACGCGTGCATTTCCATAATATATTATATTCTCGGCATGCCAAGGATGAATAAAATTATTAGAAATTGATAACAGAATGTGTCCATGGACACTTTGGGCATAATAGAAACAATACGGATATCCAATAGACATATTCCCTCTTCGTAGGAACCAGAACATGAAAAAAAAAATAGGGATGTGATATTTTACTTTACGCAATTAATTACCTAAAGTAAGATGTTGAGTAAAGTGTTGAATTACATGTCGAGATTGAAAAAATAATATAATCTTGGAACATTTTTATTTCAATTATGACCAAGAAAATTGTGGTCAGCTTATAAATAACTATTCGAATTCCCTCAGACTATTCGACTGTTTCATCTGAATACTATTATTGACTACAGAAGAGAATCATAATTATGCCATAGGAGCTTGTGTAAAAATCTAAAAGGCGGTTCCACAGGTAAACTATATCCATATTTTGTTTGTTAAAATCATCTAATGATGAATACTTCTTCTTGATTTTTTATTTCTATATATTCCTAATGTTTGTATATACGTAATCAGATGTACTATTTCTACTATCTAGTATTTATAGTGGCATGAATTGAAAATGAAAGTATCGTGTATACTATAGAGTTCAATATAAAATTAGGATTCTCGAAAACCCATAACACTTTCGAATGCTGATAAGTGAAAATAGGTCAGGCGTTATGATGATTGAACATTTTATTGCAGAAATAAAACAAGCTCTTTCTGCTAATTGAAAATGCTCATCTGGAGAACTTTGCATCATACGGCTTCAAAAAATATACTGTAACTACCAGACGCATAAAAAAATGCTGAATTTTATCGTACATATAGCAACAGTCGTAATAAACTGACAGTAGTGGCAGTCAACAAATAAGCATTTCAAGCGTCACTTTCCGAGTACCTAATTCCAATCAAAAATGGACAACTCAGGAAACTTTCAAGATCTCCCACCGGAAATAATTGAAATACTCAATAATCTTCAATCCATCAAAAAAATTTCAATACCTACCTCCTCTCCCTATCCTCACGTACGATGTTCTTCGAACAACATAGGGATTTTCTTCCATTTGCTCCAAGCGATGAAAAAAAGTTATCAGAGAAAAGCATTTTTCATTCTGTAACTTCGAGGGCCCAAGACAATGAGACCTGGGACACCCTGTATATCAAATCAATACAGAGAGTATCGCACGTGTCTAGATCTCAGAGACGTATGGTTTGATTATTTCACACGGAGAAGATGAGCAATTTGAAGTCGCTTAAATTTTTATCACGAAAATGACATCATATCAACCTCCGCAGTTCACAGACATTGTTTGATTAATTTTGCTGATTATATTTATTATTCGCCATCAGCAGCAGTATCAGTGCGTAAAGGTCAGAGACTCCCTGATTCACTAAGGCGGTAATAATAATTGAGGTATAGCAGGCCAAATATTAGATGCATAGACTACAGAAGATAAACTATACAGGGTGCCCGTTTTTCGAGCTGCACCACCCAGCGAGCACAAAAACATCTCAGAGATGTTAAAAGTACGAGATTTCGAGACATTGAACCTCCACTGCGATGTTCTGTTCACACATGAATAGAACTATTATAGAAATGCCAATGTCCGCCGCAGGCGGCAATTATCGAGATGTCCTTGATATGTCACAAACCACCTTCTCCCTAGTTTTTTTTAAGCCTTTTCATGGACACAACAGAACATTTTCAACGCGTCTTGCGCACATTGAATCGCTGTAAAAAAACCATTTTCGAGGTACTTTTCTGAAGCCTTTTGTCAAAATGAACTTTTGCATTAGGATTACATTTCCCTTGAATGAAAAAATGCATTAAAAATAGATTGAACATAAAAATATTTTCTTGATATGAAATTACCTTCTTAATCGGTTCCTGAGTAGTGCTTACTACACACAGACATATAATTGGAAATAGGTTTCCCAATTTTTGAAATGTTCTCCACAATGCATAATTTTGCAACTGCGGAGAAGCTGTGTATTGATGAATTCGTACTTTTATATATTGATTACACTGAGGCACCGAACAACACACCTCGCATCTGATGGTCATTATTACAAGCAAAATAAGTCTTCTAACACAATAAACTTCACCAAATTCCTTTCTGTTCGTTAGCAGCGTGATGTGAGCGCGACACGCTGCAAACGCGAATGCCAATTGCGAACAAGAAGAACAAAATCGAAAACAAATCAGAATTCATCGTATTGTGACGTAAGCATGAGACGTTGTGGTGGGGCAAACAAAGAAAGGGCACAAAAGAACAAAAACTATACTTTCAATATCCTTTTAAGACCTCTTTGGGAAGTGCATATTACGCCTCAAAAAAACATCCTCATGCCTATACATTTCTAAAACATCCCAGGGATACCTCTCAGTAGGCAAACAAAGAAATGCCACAGAAGAACAAAAACAATACTTCAATATCCTTCAAAGACCTCTTTGGTCAGTGCATATTACGTCTCAAAATAACATCTTCATGCCAACATTTTCAAAACATCCCAAAACATCCCAGGGATGTTTGTGCTCGCTGGGCATGGGGATCTCCGTTTTTATAAGAGATGCGAGGTCGGTTGAATTCATTCGATATGTCATTCTCAGTTTTTGAATTGTTTCAAGAAAACGAGTATTTTTATAATCTGTTTTTATTTTTTCAAGCGAAAACCAGAAGACCTAGACGTTTCTGACTAGGACATTCTTGTGACACTTTTTCACAAGGAATCTGAATCTGTCATCGTATTTTCCATGACGTTTTTGATGCCAAATAATGTACTAATACGCTTTAAAAAGAAGTGGATAAGGGTAGGATGGATCTACAGTTAGTGGGTGGAAAATGTTCTTACATGTCCATGTTGCCTCATCCGATGAATGTTGGTCAGAGCTTGGTTGCTGTGACCACAAGTCTTCAAAGAGTATTCTTTTTGATTGAAGAGGATATCGCACGGTATCTCATTCGTTGGGGTTTGGGTTGAGGCCTCGAAAACAATGCTATTCGTGGGCGATGATTTCTCATTGGAGGAATCTAGCTCCATATTCCTACAAAAAAGGGGTAGACAAAATCAAAAACCTAGGTAGCATGAGGGTTACTAGTCAGAAAAACAGGGATGTATGACTATCTAGTTACTTTTTGTATTTATACAGGGTGATCCTCAGATAATGCGCGAAAATTTGTGAAACTAGGCGAAAAAGTATTTCCTAAATATTGTGTTTTCAGCGGATGTGTCAAAGAATTATTGAATGTGAATTCCAAATTCGACATTCTGAATGCATAATGAATAAAATAGCATTTTCTCATCGCAACTGTTCAATATTGCTCCAAAAATTTTCAATTTCCCTAACAAGTGCGGAAAGTGATACTTTCTCGCACGCGAATGCCGTGGACCCGATACACCCGAACGACGCGAAGCGGAGTTCGGGCAAGCAGTCGAGTACGGGAAAGACACTTTCCGCGTGAGTTAGGAACAATATTTTCTCTACAAGCGTAGGAAATTGATTGATTTGTTTGTGTTGTTGTATGAAGCATTATGTAGGTAAGCTTATTGCGGAAGCCAGCCATGGTGTTTGGCCTCTAGGTTTCTGACATTTATAGGAAATGAGCCAAAAATAATCCTTCTTCATTTGGTGTTTTCTTTGTTTTGCTATTTTTTTACTATTGCACCATTTAATGAAACCCGTGTAGTGCTTCAGCTGAACTTAGTCGATCGCAAAAATTCCTCAAAACTGTAAAAATTGGAAAAATCGCAAAAATGCCTGAAAATTGCGAAAATTGCAAAAATTCCTGAAAATTGCGAAAATTCCAGAAAATTGTAAAAATTCCTAAAATTTCCTGAAAATTGCGAAAATCGCAAAAATGCCTGAAATTTACAGAATTCGCAAAAATTCCTGAAAATTGCAGAAATAGCAGAAACTGCAAAATTTCCTGAAAATAAGAAAAATTTCTGAAAATTGCAAAAGCTCCTAAAAATTGCAAAAATTGCAAATATCGCTAAAATGTATGAATATTGCAAAAATTCCTGAAAATTGCAAAAATTTCTGAAAATTGCAAAAATTGCAAAAATTCATGAAAATTGCAAAAATTGCAAATATTCCTAAGAATTGCAAAAATTGCAGAAATTGCTGAAATTGCAAAAATGCCTGAAAATTGCAAAAATTCCTGAAAATTGCAAAAATCGCAAAAATTCCTGAAAATTGTGAAAATCGAAAAAATCGCAAAAATTCCTGGAAATTGCAAAAATCGCAAAAATTCCTGAAAATTGTAAATATTGAAAAAATCGCAAAAATTCCTGAAAATTGCAAAAATCGCAAAAATGCCTGAAATTTGCAAAAATAGCAAAAATTGCAGAAATCGCAAAAATGCCTGAAAATTGCAAAAATTACAAAAATTCCTGAAAATTGCAAAAATCGCAAAAATCCCTGAAAATTGTAAAAATCGAAAAAATCGCAAAAATTCCTGAAAGTTGCAAAAATCGCAAAAATTCCTGAAAATTGCAAAAATTGCAAAATTCCTAAAAAATGATAGAATTGCAAAAATTCCTGAAAATTGCAAAAATCGCTAAAAATCCTGAAAATTGCAAAAATTGCAAAAATTCCTGAAAATTGCAAAAATCGAAAAAAAAATCCTGAAAATTGCAAAAATTGCACAAATTCCTGAAAATTGCAAAAATTGCAAAAATTCCTGAAAATTGAAAAAATTGCAACAATTCCTGAAAATTGAAAGAATTGCAAAAATTCCTGAAAATTGCAAAAATAGCAAAAATTGCAGAAATCGCAAAAATTCCTGAAAATTGCAAAAATCGAAAAAATCGCAAAAATTCCTGAAAATTGCAAAATTTGCAAAAATTCCTGGAAATTGCAAAAATCGAAAAAAATCCTGAAATTGCAAAAATTGCAAAAATTCCTGAAAATTGCAGTAATTGCAAAAATCCTGAAACTTGCAAAAATTGCAAAAATTCCTGAAAATTGAAAAAATTGCAAAAATTCCTGAAAATTGGAAGAATTGCAAAAATTCCTGAAAATTACAAAAATAGCAAAAATTGCAGAAATCGCAAAAATGCCTGAAAATTGCAAAAATTACAAAAATTCCTGAAAATTGCAAAAATCGCAAAAATCCCTGAAAATTGTAAAAATCGAAAAAATCGCAAAAATTCCTGAAAATTGCAAAAATCGCAAAAATTCCTGAAAATTGTAAAAATCGAAAAAATCGCAAAAATTCCTGAAAGTTGCAAAAATCGCAAAAATTCCTGAAAATTGCAAAAATTGCAAAATTCCTGAAAAATGAAAGAATTGCAAAAATTCCTGAAAATTGCAAAAATTCCTGAAAATTGCAAAAATTGCAAATATTCCTGAAAATTGCAAAAATTCCTGAAAATTGCAAAAATTGCAAAAATTCCTGAAAATTGCAAAAATCGAAAAAATCGCAAAAATTCCTGAAAATTGCAAAAATTGCAAAAATTCCTGAAAATTGCAAAAATCGAAAAAAATCCTGAAAATTGCAAAAATTACTAAAAATTGCAAAAATTCCTGAAAATTTCAAAAATTCCTGAAAATTGCAAAAATTGCAAAAATTCCTGAAAATTGCAAAAATCGAAAAAATCGCAAAAATTCCTGAAAATTGCAAAATTTGCAAAAATTCCTGAAAATTGCAAAAATCGAAAAAATTCCTGAAAATTGCAAAAATTGCAAGAATTCCTAAAAATTGCAAAAATTCCTGAATATTTCAAAACTTCCTGAAAATTGCAAAAATTGCAAAAATTCCTGAAAATTGCAAAAATTCCTGAAAATTGAAAAAATTGCAAAAATTCCTGAAAATTGAAAAAATTGCAAAAATTCCTGGAAATTGCAAAAATTCCTGAAAATTGCAAAAATACCTGAAAATTGCAAAAATTGCAAAAATTCCTGAGAATTGCAAAAATTCCTGAAAATTGCAAAAATTGCAAAAATTCCTGAAAATTGAAAAAATTGCTAAAATTCCTAAAAATTGAAAAAATTGCAAAAATTCCTGGAAATTGCAAAAATTGCAAAAATTCCTGAAAATTGCAAAAATCGCAAAAATGCCTATAAATGCAAAAATAGCAAAAATCGCAAAAGTTCCTGAAAATTACAAAAAAGCAAAAATTCCTGAAAATTGCAAGTTACTGAAAATTGCAAGAATTGCAAAAATTCCTGAAAATTGCAGATTGCGAAAATTCCTGAAAATTGCAAAACTTGCAAAAATTCCTGGAAATTGAAAAAATTGCAAAAATTCCTGAAAATTGCAAAAATTGCAAAAATCCTGAAAATTGCAAAAATTGCAAAAATTCCTGAAAATTGAAAAAATTGCAAAAATTCCTGAAAATTGAAAGAATTGCAAAAATTCCTGAAAATTGCAAAAATAGCAAAAATTGCAGAAATCGCAAAAATGCCTGAAAATTGCAAAAATTACAAAAATTCCTGAAAATTGCAAAAATCGCAAAAATTCCTGAAAATTGTAAAAATCGAAAAAATCGCAAAAATTCCTGAAAATTGCAAAAATCGCAAAAATTCCTGAAAATTGTAAAAATCGAAAAAATCGCAAAAATTCCTGAAAATTGCAAAAATCGCAAAAATTCCTGAAAATTGCAAAAATTGCAAATATTCCTGAAAATTGCAAAAATTCCTGAAAATTGCAAAAATTGCAAAAATTCCTGAAAATTGCAAAAATCGAAAAAATCGCGAAAATTCCTGAAAATTGCAAAATTTGCAAAAATTCCTGAAAATTGCAAAAATCGAAAAAAATCCTGAAAATTGCAAAAATTGCAAAAATTCCTGAAAATTGCAAAAATTCCTGAAAATTTCGAAAATTCCTGAAAATTGCAAAAATTGCAGAAATTCCTGAAAATTGCAAAAATTCCTGAAAATTGCAAAAATTTCAAAAATTCCTGAAAATTGAAAAAATTGCGAAAATTCCTGGAAATTGCAAAAATTCCTGAGAATTGCAAAAATACCTGAAAATTGCAAAAATTGCAAAAATTCCTGAGAATTGCAAAAATTCCTGAAAATTGCAAAAATTGCAAAAATTCCTGAAAATTGAAAAAATTGCTAAAATTCCTAAAAATTGAAAAAATTGCAAAAATTCCTGAAAATTGCAAAAATTGCAAAAATTCCTGAAAATTGCAAAAATCGCAAAAATGCCTATAAATGCAAAAATAGCAAAAATCGCAAAAATTCCTGAAAATTGCAAAAAAAGCAAAAATTCCTGAAAATTGCAAGTTACTGAAAATTGCAAGAATTGCAAAAATTCCTGAAAATTGCAAAGATTGCGTAAATTCCTGAAAATTGCAAAAATCGCAAAAATTCCTGGAAATTGAAAAAATTGCAAAAATTCCTGAAAATTGCAAAAATTCATGAAAATTTCAAAAATTCCTGAAAATTGCAAAAATTCCTGAAAATTGCAAAAATTCCTGAGGATTGAATAGATTGCAAAAATTCCTGAAAATTGCCAAAAATTGCAAGAATTCCAGAAAATTGCAAAAATTGCGAAAATTCCTGAAAATTTCAAAAATCGAAAAAATCGCAAAAATTCCTGAAATTTGCAAAATTTGCAAAAATTCCTGGAAATTGCAAAAATCGCAAAAATTCCTGAAAATTGCAAAAATTGCAAAAATTCCTGAAAATTGCAAAAATTCCTGAAAATTGAAAAAATTGCAAAAATTCCTGAAAATTGCAAAATTTGCAAAAATTCCTGAAAATTGCAAAAATCGCAAAAATTCCTGAAAATTGCAAAAATTGCAAAAATTCCTGAAAATTGCAAAAATTCCTGAAAATTTCAAAAATTCCTGAAAATTGCAAAAATTGCAAAAATTCCTGAAAATTGTAAAAGTTGCAGAAATTGCAAAAATTCCTGAAAATCGGAAAAATTCCTGAAAATTCTAAAAATTCCTGAAAATTGCAAACATCGCGAAATTGTCAGGAAATTGCGAAAATCGCAAAAATTCCTGAAAATTGCAGAAATAGCAAAAATTGCAAAAATTCCTGAAAATAAGAAAAATTCCTGAAAATTGCGAAAATTGCAAAAATGCCTGAAAATTGCAAGAATCGCAAAAATTCCTGAAAATTGCATAAATAGCAAAAATTGCAAAAATTCCTGAAATTAAGAAAAATTTCTGAAAATTGCAAAAGCTCCTAAAAATTGCAAAATCGCTTAAATGTATGAAAATTGCAAAAATTGCAAAAATTCCAGAAAATTGCAAAAATTCCTGAAAATTGTAAAAATTCCTGAAAATTGCAAAAATCGCAAAAATGCCTGAAAATTGTAAAAGTTGCAGAAATTGCAAAAATTTTTGAAAATCGGAAAAATTCCTGAAAATTCTAAAAATTCCTGAAAATTGCAAACATCGCGAACTTGTCAGGAAATTGCGAAAATCGCAAAAATTCCTGAAAATTGCAGAAATAGCAAAAATTGCAAAAATTCCTGAAAATAAGAAAAATTTCTGCAAATTGCGAAAATTGCAAAAATGCCTGAAAATTGCAAGAATCGCAAAAATTCCTGAAAATTGCAGAAATAGCAAAAACTGCGAAATTTCCTGAAAATAAGAAGAATTTCTGAAAATTGCAGAAGCTCCTAAAAATTGCGAGAATCGCTTAAATGTATGAAAATTGCAAAAATTGCAAAAATTCCAGAAAATTGCAAAAAATCCTGAAAATTGTAAAAATTCCTGAAAATTGCAAAAATCGCAAAAAAGTCTGAATATTGTGAAAGTTGCAGAAATTGCAAAAATTCCTGAAAATCGGAAAAATTCCTGAAAATTGTAAAAATTCCTGAAAATTGCAAAAATCGCGAACTTGTCTGGAAATTGCAAAAATCGCAAAAATTCCTGAAAATTGCAGAAATAGCAAAAATTGCAAAAATTCCTGAAAATAAGAAAAATTTCTGAAAATTGCGAATATCGCAAAATTTCCTGAAAACTGTAACAATTGCAAAAATTGCAAAAATTCCTGAAAATTGCAGAAATTGCAAAAATTCCTTATACATTCATAAAAACATCATTAGATATCAAAACTAACGCTTAAAATGGCCTTATACTGTCTCCTTGGCTGAAATTAGGTATAAAAGTAGGACTGAAGAGTCTCTTTACCAAATTCACATAGTAGGTACCTGCGAAGCAGTAGAAAATCAGATGAAATATATTGGAAAGGTATTGGTACCTTATTCTAATTATTAAATTCAGATTTCCATAATTTGTTGGGAGCTATGACCGATTTATGATGAAGCATATATGAAGCATCAAATATTGATAGAAAAGAGAACAATAGGTAGGTTCAAATTAATCCGCTTCATGTCATTCAACGAGAAAGGTCATCAACTTTTTCATGCTTTCAGCCGTTTTTCCTAGTTTTATCGTTGTCCGTAATTCGGGGCAAATGAACCATCAACACGAACTATATTGTCATATCCTCGGCATTGTTTCCTTCATTTTATTACGTGTTTAACTAGCATCGCTTCATTAATCTCTGGAATGTAATGTCTAGAAGTAAAGGAATTCCAATAATAAAGCCACAATTCTAACTGAAAGCACTATAAACTCGGACAGTGCATTCCCAGTCGTGACATAATTCAATAATTCAAAATACATTTACACTCTTATAACTACTAAAAAATCATTCACTGAGGAAATCATGAGATCACTTCGATATCTGAAATTTAAAGTGACCCATTCAATCTTTTTTTCAGGTTTGACAAAAGATTCTCGAGATATTCAAGGTCAGATGTGGAAATTTGAGTTGTCACATCCCGAATAAATTGATATACCGGGTGTCAACGAATCTATTAGACAAGTCATAACTTCTAGACCATAAGGTGTATCAAAATGAGATTTGGTATAGGTAAATGGTATGTGAAGAGGAGAGTTTTCACATATTTTTCACTTCCCGGTCACTTCCGGTTTCACCGGAAATGGCTCCGGTTCTAAATTTTTAAATGGAACACCCTGTATATCGTAATATTTTTGGATATCTGAGGAAATTCTAGATCAGAATGTGACATTTTCGAAAGTTTTCATGCCTACTTAATTTTTTAGGAGTCACTTTTGAAATAACATCTAGGTGGCCATGATCGGAAGTAAACTATAATCTAAGGACCTCAGGTGATATCAGAACATTACAATTGCGAAGTTTTAGTGACAAGTATGATAAATATATGAATAAGACAAGTCGGCAAAATTACATTACAGTCTGGTGAGAGGAACGATCCTCTACAACTTAACAAAAAAAAAAGTTCCTCCTGCCCATTTTCTTAGATTACTTTCTTTTCGTGGAGAAATGTTGGGTAATACCTACCTATCTCTTCGAGAATATATAATATGTGAAATAAAATACATCAGGGTGTTAGTGAATGTGCGAAAAATTTCAGGGGGTGATTCACTGTTATATTTTAGGAAATAAAATCCACATAAACATGTGTCAATTGTTTTTATTTTCAACCCGCCCCCCTGTATAAGCTTCCATGGTGCTAAAATTCAATATAGTTGGAGACTGAGAAAGCCCCAAAACTTCAAAATGGTTGTGATTGAGGTTATCGAGTAATCTCAATGGAAGTCTTGAAAAAACCTACATTAAATTTAGAGTCAAATCGAATTTCTATTTTTTTCCTCAAAAAACTACAGAGGATAAAAAGAATCACACAGAGGATAAAAAAAGTTGTTATATCTTCAATGCACACATTCCCAAAATCCTGTATTATAAAGGCATAGCAAAGAAAATTTGGGTATCTTTAACGTTGAACTGAAATGATGGTACCCTTTTTCATTGCGTTGATGAAATGAACCGTTTCAGAAAAAAATGATAATAACCAATTCATTCATCATTATTTTCTCATTTGTACCTGTATCGCGAAAGTTACTAAGGTAGGAAATGAATAATAATCTTGCTTTTCTGATCTTGTCATCAATTCCAGACTTCGATATCAATAACTCTCTGATTTTTAATTATTTCAGAAGGTAATGGTTGAAGAATGAAATGAAATAATACTCGTTTTTCAGGGCACATAGTATTGGTGAGTTTGATATAATGAATTTTGATGTCTTCAAAGTTGTTCAAGCCTATCTACATACAAATATGTTCGAAACAATGCCCTTTGTTACAGCTCACGTGATTATTTCAAACCATAAAGATATTGAGAAGTAAATAACACTTTTACTCCACTCACTCCGTCTTTGGGTGAATATTTCACTTAAGCTGACCAAAATCGATGTAGATTTCTAACAATAAAAAAAACAACACGACTACATCACTGAATAATTCAAAACATTCAGCACAGCAGGACATAGTCATGAATCCTTTACTAATCTATCAAACACACAAAAACTACCCTTCAGAATTGCCAAACCCATAAAAATACTCACCCAAACACAAGGATCACCCTTCTCCCTCGATTCTAATCCTTAGTTAAAAACAAGTCAATAAAATCTAGTAAACTCTGCCTGCAAAGAGCTGAACGTCAACTAAGGAAGAGGAAGAATCTGAAGTCTGAAATACGCATGCTGTTTTGAATGGTTGCGCCTGAACAACGAACAGAGTGGATGGTGTCATATTCCTGCAAACGGTTCTTTCAGCAGGAACATTCAGCGGAACTATGTCCCCATTCATTATGGAATATTAACCGACCGGCAACAGGACCGAATTAAGGGGTCTATACAGTAACTTATTGCTAGAATACGATATCGTTACCTTTACGATACATCGACCAACGACATTTTGAACGATAAATTCCAGAAGCTCATTCAGTATCGATGTCCTTAGAGAAAAATCTGGGGACATGCTAATAAATGGATTTGGTAAATATTGGTAACAGTAAGTTGATGTTCTGTTGAATTTGTTGATGTTATCTTTGTCAAATAATATGGTCAGTACTTCGTCTTCCAGAAAACAGAATTCTTGTTTTTTGTGATGAAAATTGCATCAGCTGTCTGAGATAACTTCACAACGAAATTATCGACAATAATCATCAACCCCATGAAGTGATCGACACATTGGCTTGATATGAACTGTTGAGTCTGTCTGAACCCACAGAAGGTTTTAGATGAGTTCATGTGTGAAGCAGTAAGAACTGGAGAAATGAAAATTCAATGTAGATAATAATGAAGGAGAAGAGCTTCGAATCCCTGGCAGAGCAGAGGTTTCATGTATAAAACGTGAGAAATACTGCGTTTCAATTAACAGGTTCTGCTCCTAGGGTGGCGAATGAAGTAACAAAGCCCACATAGAACACACATGGACTGAAGGACCTCTCGTAAAGTCGATGACCTATTGGTATGTATCCATGCATACATGCCAACGAAGTATAAAAAATTCTCTATCTTTTTCATCTCACTCTTATGATAGGAGTGGTCTTGTATTTCAATCTGCTGGCAACATGAATCCTGGTATTTCATTACATAAATCTTGTGCTGCATCTTATTTTGCTCAATCTTATAGGTACATCTGACGAATCAGCAGATCTAGTAACTCAAATGGATTGCTCATATCCCTGAGTATTCTGAGTTGCTGTCAATATGTTGTTGTCTGAAATGTTATTGATGATATTACATGATACAACAATGTCATGTATCAATGCTATCACTAGAAACAATGAAGAGTCTATCATCTGCGTGCTATATCTTCTAGTACTAGCTCTACTAATGCCCAGTTATTTATTTTTCAATAATCAGCATCAAATTATCTTTATTAATAATAATTAGGTTGATAAGACCCCCAACCACTATGGTCAAGCACTCGATCATTCAAAATGGGATAAAAATAGTCAATCACCTTCCAAATAACATCGAAGAAATATCATGTGATAAAAAGTTTCGTACGAAAGTGAAAGCACTACTCGTCCAAACTTCACTGTATAGCCTGGATGAATATGTTTCAATGGAATTTCGATTTTCTGAATAGGTATATTTCTTTCAATTTGAAATTAACTTATATATCTTCAACTAGGTAAAGACATAGCTCTATACGAGCTCTTTAATGTTGTTTGTTATTTATCGTACTATTGTCATATTTTGTGTTATTTATTTTCATGTAATTTAACAAGCTTTGTCAACAAGTGTGAATGTACTTATGACAATGAAGCATATTTGGAATCGAATTGAAGTGAATTCGTTGTAAAAGAGAGATGAGGCAGCAGAATTGAATATGGTGGGAGCGTAAATAATATTCCTTTGGATTCCTGCCACCGCAGGAATCACAAATCGGCTAGTACGAACCTGCCCAATTGATCTACGCCCGACGTACAAGTTATCAGGCATGTGTCCACGTGATTCTGACAAAATCAGGAATACTCCTGCGGAATGTTCCAACGACTAAAGGACCCCATTCACGTCCAATCCGTATGGATACAACGTTAACGATCATTTTCAACTCATAAAGCGTCGTGGTGAATTGAAGTGAACTAATTCAACCGAGATCCAGTTGTCTAGATCTAGTAGTTTTTACTCTCGACAAACGAGAGTAAAAACTATAAAGTTTCATCACTTATCGTTTTACGTTTGTGAACAGGTCTTGTTCTTCGAAGGAAGAAAGGAATACTCGGAGTCATATCCCTTCCTTTGAAAAAAATTCACTAAACTTTGAGCAATATGGACTTCTATCAAAGAGTATTCGTTTTCTTGAAAGATTCGACGACTATAATTTTTCTTTCATGTAGAATTCTTCTCGAGATACTAGGTTCGAAACAGCAGATAAGTCAGGAAGTTGTCAATACAGATTGGCGTATCTGGCGTATCCCACCTTTTTGACGTATACAGTGCCATTCATAAAGTCGGCATCATATGGGAAAAACTTTTATTAATGTCTTATTTTGGAATTCGAATTGGACGTTGAGTTTTGCTTCAAAAAAGATAAAAAATGGCCTACTCAATCGGGGTCACGTGACTTTCGCAACATGTCAAAAGTGACATTTTTTCAAATTGATCGCTGAAAGTACGCTTATTTGTTCGAATATCGAAAAAGTTTACTTGAAAAAGTTGTTTCTATTTCAATTTTACACATGCTTCTCAAATTTGATCCTTCTATTGCAACTTTTAGATTTTCATTTTTTTTTTAATTTTTCAAAATTTCTGTACTATTTGAAGAACTGTTAATTCCACGAAACTACTTCATACCAGTAGCTTTTTCATGCTAGTTACTTTCAATTACTTATTATCACTGATTATGGACAGAAATATGATTTTCTTCAGAACATGATAATACCCGCTTCCAAATTCTGTTATGTTTGATGCAAAGTTGATATATCGTCAAGCATTTAGAAACGAAATTCATTCAAACTGATCTTTTCAGAACTGAAAAAATGAATTCAAATGAGTTTCGTTTGTAAATGCTTAACTCAAACATAACAGCATTTTGATGTTATGTTTACATCAAACATAACAGAATTTTGAAGCGGAGATTATCATTTTATGAAGAAAATCCAATTTTTGTCGATAATTAGTGATAATTAGTAATTGAAAGTTAGTAGCATGATGGAGCTACCCTCTACCGGTATGAAGTAGTTTTATCGAATTTACAGTTTTTTAATATTACAGAAATTTCAAGAAATTCTCTGTGCTAATTCTCATCTCTTCCCAAAAACTTCAATGTACTCACGTCCTAAAAATCAACAACAGAGTATAGTTGGGTTTTCAGAGCTGAAAATATATTGTGAATCAGTCTTCAAGCAGGATGAATGTCAAAAACCCATTCAAATGTAGCTTAATTTTCATTTCCACTGGAGTCGTTTTATCACACCAACGGGGCCACTGTATATACCGCTATTTATTACTATTATCGAGATTCAATACCGAACATTCTAATGTCTGAAGTCATAATACATGAAAATTTCACAAATGAAAATAAGAAAAAACTTACGAAGAAGGCAGCAGAACGCTGTCATTGGATACCTTGGTTTGGGGAACCAAAAACCTGTTGGAATTCAAGACCACCACAACACAAGCACGCGTATTTCCTCAAAAACAAAAACTAAAATTGTATATCAGAGACATAACAAGTTAACTTCTGTAGCCTATAACAATATTCAGTGTCCACAAAGTACAGAATATCTTTGCTAGGTACATCACCATTAGCAGTTCATTTAAGAATATGCCTTGTGATACTGTGTGGAGAGCTACTTTCACCTCAATCTACATGGAACATGCATACGTTGATGCTCTTATATTCCATCCAGCTATTCGCTGCTCGATTGGTAATACCTTCCATGTCTTATAGACACTTTCGTGGACATTGTTCGTGAAGAATCTTGAGTTTTCATCACCAGAAATATCAGCCAGATGAACTCGACATACACCAACTAATCGTCATTCTCGAGACCTGACGAACAATTCTCTATGAAAACTCGTTTTTTCATGCAACATCGAATCTTTGGAATAGTTCTTCATCTATGTATAAGTATGCCCAAGAACATATAACCATCAAAGAATCAAAAGAGAGAATCTTAACGTGAATGGGAGTCTTTACTGGACGAATGGTCGTTGCCCCTGAAATAGATCCACCCCTACAGATACGCATGTTCAGGATTGCGTACCGTATCGAAATATTTGCCATTCTTGGGAATTGATTATGTGATTTTTATGTACCTTTACGAATAAGGAATGATTTTGATCTGGAAATATACTTCGAGTTCGAGGGTTTCAATCGATTCAATGCCCAACGCTCATTACCTGGAGACGTTACTTAAAGTGATGATACTGATACTTTGATTGATTTAACAATTTTCATTTTGTATTCTACTCAAACTTCACTAAATACAAGGGAAGCACAGACTCTATCCAGGCACTGGGGAAAAATACCATGATATGGTGTAAAACATCCGAGGGAAATAAAACAGAAGTGTTTGGGCCTCGCATTTTCCTATCAGAAATTCACGCCTTAGGAAGGTGCATTCAGTTCAACTTCGACAGAAAATACCGGAACAAGTAAATCGCTGTCCTCTTCGATAGTCAAGCAGCCATCAAAGCGTTGAGAGCTCTTTCAACATCAACTCAAAGATGGTTTGGGAATACCTAGACAAACTCAATAATTTAGGCAGGAACAATAAGGTAATCCTCTTCTAGGTGCCGGAGCACACTGGAGTGAAGGAAAATGAACAAACAGACACTGTGGCAAGAAAAGAAGCATCAACGCTACTGATCGGACCAGAACTATTCTGTGTCCTTGGGAATTCACATTTCCGATTCCATTTCCATTAATAAATCTGAAGAAGCAATGATGTTAACACACTGGCAAAAACTTCCAGGACTGCGGCAGGCCAAAGATCTCCTCGGAGATTTCAACAGAGCAAGACACTGATGATTGACCTCAGCAAAATTACTTTCAAAGCAACAACGGGATCTCTAACGGGGCATTGTAGACTCAAAGAACATCTTAGGAAGCTAGACTTGGAGGAGGGCAGCACCTGCACATCCTGCGGGGAACATCCAGGAACACTCTACTACATCCTATTGGAGTATGATGCTGTACATCACAGAAGATCGAATATTATACTGAGATCATACCAGCTGCCCTTGAAAGAAA